TTTCTTTTTTGTGAAGCACATTTCTAAGCCTATAAGTTTCTTACTAGATGAGCTAACGGGGTCAATCAATCGTCATTTTGTAGAGCGTTTTTTACTGCATCTTTTCTTCATAGAGACAAATTTACAATCACTTGTTTCGCTATAGAAAAATTTATTATTCAAATCGAGTCAGGACTTCTGGCCCACCCTTTATTACACCAGAATCTGCTATTCAAAATATTAGAAGTCTAATAAGAACATTCAAAGAAAAATTACCGGATGCTTCATTAGCTTTATGTACTTAACCATATCAATATGATCCTAGTCTTAAACCAAGTCTTCAACAGCAATTAAATAAAGACATTGACGATTTTAATACAAAATTAATTGCATTAGACAAGGAAGATCAGGTTCCAATAATTGCAATCAAATTTACTCAAGAACATATTGATACATAGAGATGGAATTTATTTAAATGAGTTAGGCACAAAATTATTATCCTCATCCATTGATAACTATTTATCTAAATGTATTTAACATTTCTTGTACACCAGTTGACATCTCATGCTCGAACACTGTGGTATGTAATACTACTCCATTTTTCACACTATTGCGTACTGGATTGAGCAAGTCATCTCCTCGACCGAAATCTCTATGCCAGTTAAAATAGTTTCTCTTGTTCAACAACGCACCCTTCGCCTTTCGAGGCAGACGAGATTCCTTCAACTTAAAAGAGACGGTGACTTCTGTAAATCGAAATACAAAAACCATCCTCCTCGGCTATTTAAAATTTATAAAAAATTTAGAAACTTGTCAATTCAATCTGTTCATAGAGATAAAAGCAGGCTATTTCAATCAATAATAAAAACATTTTCATGTAGTAAACGTTTCTGGACACATATAAATAAATACAGGAATACAGAGTGTGATTTACCAGTCACACTTAGACATAACACTACTCTGGCAGCTGACGATCAGTCTAAAGCACAACTGTTGTCTGATTACTTTGAAACTAATTTTGCTACAACCCAAGGACCTTCACATTTACCTCCCTTAACCCCTACTAAAAAATATTTAATTTTTACTATTTTCTCAGTTAGTAAACACGTAACTATACTACAAAAATTTTTATTTCATTAATGCTAAACGTGCCTTTTTAGGTCTACCGCGTTTTTTGTTGAAAGTTTCTGATTTTGATGGGTTTTGAACAAAATAATAGCCAAAATGAATCATCATACCAAGAGCATGTTTACATACATACGATTTTAAATTTGTTTTACATGAACACATCATTGGTATTGTAACTAATCGCCCAGAATATAACCATGATGAAAATTCATCAAAACTTTGCCATGGCATTGTTGTATATTGTTGAAGTCATACATTTACATTCATTTTACTTGGATGTGATGAAGGAATAGCATAACTATGTTGATAACAATGTATAACAGCATTTTTATCAAGACCTAGTAGCCATTTCCATGCTTGAGCTTCAGTTGTTGTATCAATACTTGGGTATGTGGTAAAACCATTATTAACTGATTGATGAGACCAGTCTTAAAGCATCGAAACAATTGTTGGAAGAAGTAATGACAATACAAGCTTACTTCGAAGTGTATATATTTGTTTGATTTTACCATTTAAAGATTCCAATTCATTGCTTGCACTTGGAATTCGAATAGCAGCACCTTCATACTATTTTTAAATCAACAACCCATTGTTCTTCAAAATAATTAGCAAATATAACAAGATCAGGTATTTCTCTCCATCTTTTTAATAACAACTGAACGCCTCTTTGAAATACACCATCATCAAATGATAATTGAATCGTTAATAAATCACGTTCAATATCTTCCCATTTATCAACCGGTACCATCTTTCTGTGCTCTCGACATTTACTTAATACTTAAGCCCAACACATTAATCGTGTGACATCTGGTAATTCACGGCTTTGAGCAGCTGTTATACCGTTGCCACCATCACCCATACGATATTTTACTTGATGTGTTATACCTGTAACATCAAATACTGTTTGTTTAAGTGTTTGCAATACATCAGTATAAGAACTAGCAGCTTCGTCTGTTGATATCAATGTTATACTATACGGATGAATCGTCTATTTGCATCACTACAATCAAAAAATATTAGTGGTAACTCATTTCAATTAGCTTTGAATGTTGCATCCATTTGTAATAATGATGATAATGCACCGGTTGAAACTAATTATCTTGTTGTAAAGAATATAAATACTTGTTCGCATGAATTAACATAAAATCTTGAAACAAAAACATCATGTAATGCATTTGAATCTGGTATTGTTGAATGTTCTTGGCACCATATACGAAGATCATCAACCGAATAAATGGCAGGACGAGATAATGACCGATGATAGAGTAATAAATTTGTCAATTGTGAGGATGATACTGGATCAGAATGTTCATTCTGTATAGCCAAACGTACCTAAGATTTTGATCATCGATTGTTTTGATCATCGATTGTTGCTTGTATTTGAAAATCGCAATCAGGATATTTCTTATATGATGAACAACCATATGTCAATTTTAAACCAGATGATGTTTGTTGTGAACGAAATTGGGAAACTGAATTATGTTTGATGTATTCATTAAATAAATCATTATTAGAAAAATTATCAGGAAAAGGCCAAACTCTTCTTGTCATTTTTCGATATAAAGTGAAAAAAGTTAGTGAAAGATATAGTTGGCTCGATATTTACATGAATGTTATTCAGTCAGCTTTTTGCGATTGGCTTATATAGTTATTCATTATTTTATGATTACTTATTTGGTTATCAGTGTGCTGTAGTACAAAACGGCCGTAAGTATAATACATCAATTTTTCCAAGATTTCATTCCAAAAAAGAAAAGCAATAAGTGCATAAAAGAGAAAAAAATTACGTGGGCTCTGACCGGAATCGAACCAGCACTATGTGCATATCATGACACACAAACAGTATACCACTACACTACAGAAACCGTATAGTGATGTGTTTAGTAATTGAGAAAATAGTAAAAATTAAATATTTTTAATTCAAAATACGTTCTCTTTTCTATCCCAATTAATTTACGTTATCTGAAAAATTAAAAACGTTCTCTTTGCAATCTAATTGCATTCTCTTTTAAATATTTTGCCCAAAGTTCATACAGACAGTAATTTTTATTTTTATTTTTTTCTCTTCTATTAATCGTTCCTTCTCACAATGATATCATTTATATAGATCATTCCTTTAGTACTTGTACAAGTCTATCACATTTGTTTTATTCTTATCTTACTCTACTCTTTTCTTTTGCTTCATATTTTATTGTACTGTATTAGAGTCTATGCATATATGATTACGCTTTGCCACTTTACTACTGTAGAAAACAAATGGTTTAAAAAAAAATAGCTTTTAATAATGGTGAAAAACTTTAAATTCAGCCATTTTGACCTTGCAAGTCTCTGATTGTCAGCATTCTCTCTGAAATTGTTGATCTTCATCATCTAGAAAATCGCTGAGGATTGTCTAAAAAGTGAAAACTTTTTGATTTTCGAAAAGTTCATATATAAAATCGCTGAAGATTTTCTAGATTCTGGAAAATCCAGCTCGATTATGAAGAAAGTTGGAAAACTGAGCTAGATTCCCAACAATCTAGAAAACTGATGGTGATTTTCCACAATCTTGGAAATTCGATTTTCCATAGCCTGGAAAATCTGAGAGGATTTATTCTGTGTGCTTTTTGAAAATCACCGAGTATTTTCTATAAATAATTTCCGACTTTGCAGTGTACACTCTAAAAAAAACGTATTTTAAAAAGCTCAAAGGGTTTTTAGTTTTCGTTCCAAACATGAAAAGGGAGGGTTTATTTAAAACATGAAATACTCAAAAGGGTGTTTCCGCGGGCTCCGCCCCAAGTTTACATCGATTTTGTTCGCATAAGCCGATACTCTTTCTAGATGAATGACTCATGAGTAGGGTTACCATAAATCAACTTAAAAGGTTTGGAAATTTTGGCATCATTGAAAGCCAGATTCCGACATTTGCGTCTTTTTGTGTTTTGCGGACCCAGCAACAATAATCTTTTGCCTAAATAAACCAGTTGCCAACGTAAAATTTTTTATCTAGTAAAATGTTAGGGCTTTCTCGTGGTATCGTCGAAAAATTTTTAAATGTTTTGGCGATTTGCAGAACGATTTCAAAAAATCCGGTTTTGGCCTTTTTTACGCTAGGTAGACTTTCAGCAAAGCAAATGGAAAATCATTTTCAAATAGTGCATTCGACTCGTCTTTCCATTATTTATCCAATAGTAAAACAAAAAATTGCATAGCTTTCAAAGTGAAATCGAAAAATTCGAGATACCGATGAGGATTGGTAGATTGTTTTCCCACTAAAAGTGATCACAGTCGTCATTTTTTACGTATTTATATCAGAATGAGAGAGATGCTAATGGCGTTAAACAGAAGAAGCTTCTTTTTTTTTGCGTCCGCGTTGTTAAATGGTTGGCTTCATAACAATTCGAACAGTTCTTTCTTCTTGTGATGAAACGTTTTTTCCGTCTCTCATTGTTAACGCGTCATCTTTTTAGTCTCTTCGATCTTTTTGTCATTACGTCATTGTATTTTTCGTTTATTACGTGTATAATAATGTGAGCTCTCCCTTTTCCTTTTACTGTTTGTGTGGGTGTATATGGTCATGTACGGTCAGTGGCATATCATGTGTCAACATCGCTTCTTGTCACACTATGATAATATTAAATAATGACAACGTTGATGTTAGGATACAATATATTTTTAAAAAGAATTTTATTGTTGATTTTGATTCAACTAATAAATATTTTTCGATCAGCAGTTGCCAAAATATGTTTGATACACAATAGAATGAAAACGATAATTTAAACGGAATGGCTGTTGCCATGTTTGGAAGTGTCAACAGGAAGCCACTATAACTCAGCTGTGGCAGCAAGCAGCTATTGCCACTTACAAGAAGTGTCAATAAACGGCTATTTCTGTGAACTGCACAGGCACACTGGCTATGTGTGAGTGAGTGGAGGCTTGCGTGTAAGCAGTGTGACAGCGAGTTACAAATATAAGTGGCAAAAGACCCATCCTAATTTAAATTAAAAAAGCAATTATATTCAACTATTATAAACATTTTATTATTAATTCATTTGGTAACATTTCAAATTTTGTTGCTAAGTGTGCGTTATTAAGAAAAAGAAATTCTATGACAAATATTTTGTTTTTTCTTCAATTATTTCTTCGCTTTTATTCCAACATTCTTCAGCTAATTTTTGATTGTACGCAATTTGAGATGGTTGCGCTTCTTTACAGTCTGAATGATATTTTCCTGATTGTGCATCATCTGATAGTGAACAATATAAACTTGTTAATGTACCTTCATAGATTGTTTTACTAAAGAAATACATCAGTGATTGAATGAGTAATAAAACTAATTTTGGTCGATTACGATTGAACTCTGTAGTAATAATTGAGCCCGGATGTAATGAATAAGCTTTCAAACCTTTTGAACCGTAACGTCGATGCAGTTCATAAGCATGCCAGATATTTGCCAATTTTGTCGTTCCGTAAACTTTGAAATTTGAGTAACTATCGATGAAAAACTCATAATCAATACCGCGTGATGCAATAAAATGGACTATAGAACTAACGTTAACTACTCGACCTTTCGATTTTAGTAATAACGATAAAAGAAGTTTTGTTAAATAAAAGTGGCCAATATGATTTGTAGCCCATTGGATTTCTAGACCATCGGTCGTTGTAGTATATATGTCTTTAATTCCACCGGCATTATTCAACAAAATATCTAAACGTTGTTCATTTTTCAGAATTTGTTCAGCAAAATGTTTAACATTTGATAAATTCGATAAATCTAAATCATAACCAATAACTGTACCATTTGATTTTTGTGCAATTTGTTTTGCAATACGTTCCGCTCTTTCTTGCCCGCGTATACCAACAATGACTTTAGCACCTAATTTAGCTAATTCGGTTGCTGATACATAACCGATCCCTGTTGCCGCACCTGTGACAATCACTATTTGTTCCTGAAGATTTTTTGTTGGTTTATATGAATTACCTGATGCTAATCGTTTTGTAACATAGAAAGTAATTAAAACATAAATAAGAACAGATAAGGATGAAAATGGAAATGGATGAATAAATATGTATGTAAGTAGAATAAGAATACTATTTGAAAATAAAAAAAGTGAGGATTGAAATTCGGGTTGTGATAGAAATGGTATCAAATTAATAGCCATTACTATGTTATGCAATGAGACAGTTACCTTAAATTGAAAAACGTCTGCTGGATGAAAAAAATTGTTCTATAAAAAAAAGAAAGAAATTTCTGTGTTTATATGCGCTTGCTTACTCAATTTTGCTCTGTAACGGTGAAAATCAACAAGTTTGCTTGGTCATCGTCTCTTCGTTCTTTCCTGTATGCATCATACCTTTCGTACGAAAGTATAAGTGAATCGAAGCATTAAAAAAAGTGTAAGACAAAAGTTTTTTCGTATCTGATGGCTCTATACGCATGCTCGATTCACTTAAGGAAGTTCTGAGACGTTTGCTATGTGCTGAACGCTGCCTTAACAAAGTGAAAATTTTCCAGTATACATGTGAGTGATTCTGGTGATTTTTGTACCGTTTTTAAAGGAAAAAATGACCCAAAATCAAAGTGTGCAGAAAAATATTTTAACACTAAAAGTGTATAGAGGGTACTTGAAAGTCTGGAAAAAACTCTGTTTCCAAACTACCAAGCTCTTCTCGGCCAAAATCCTGGTTGTTCACTTTTTGACTCAGGATCAAAAATGCGACTTTCTCTGCTTTTCAGCAAAAAAAAGGCACAACTGAGCTTTAAAATATATCAAAACATAGGTTTTCCCGTATGCTCTATGAACTGGCATCCTTAACCCTTTGGTTACGGTTTTTTTTTGCGGATGCATCTTTTATTTTTCGTTCTGAAATAGTTTATAATGAGTTCAGTAGTATAGAAAAGTACTCAAAAGTGTTTTAAAGTATGATAGTCTCCAAAACAACCTATCACACAAAGTCCAACATCACAAATATCACACTGATAACGTGTTTTTTTACGCTTCTTCTCACGTCTACTTGTGCGACTGCAAACTATACAGTCTCTTTGTTGACTTTCTTGTGTTGCTGTTGCTGGAACAAGCTATGGGAAATGACGTCCAGTAAGACGTACGGGATTATCACTGGTGATAGGACGACCACCTATAGGTCTCGGTTGAGAATACCTTTCGATCAATTGTCGAATAAGTTCGCTTCGAAAATCTCCAAAATGAATAGACTTTTTATGCTTCATTTTGAATAACGTATATGCGTTGAATGTTGATGAATCCAACACATGAAAGAAGAATTTTTTATACCATTTAATAGTTTTTCGTAAGCACTCTACAAAACTGATTTGCATGTCAGTTTTATCAACTAGTCCCATGTTTCTGTTGTAATGAACAATACATTCGGGTTTTTCAACTATTTTTTGTGTCTTCCAATCACTTTTTTGTGTTTCTATCATCCTCGGCTTGTGAATTGTACATAGCATAAGGACCTCTCGTTTATCTTGCCACTTCAAAACCATTAGATTATTGCTGTTACTATAGTTAAAATCACCTTCTGTGAGGCTGTCAAATTTGACCGAACCAATACGGTTTCGGCGTACAGTACCCCTTATATTAATTACTATTTAGAAAAAACCGGTGGCGCCTTCTCCGAGATTGGATTTTCCCCCTATGATCCTACCCCCCCACCCTTAAATAATCATAGGGGGAAAATCCAATCTCGAAGAACGACGCCACAGGGGTTTTTTCACTTTTTGTTTGGAGTTGGGTTTAGTTTTATCTTAAGGGTTTTTAGTTATCTCTTCACCCCCCAACCCCCTCTCCTCTTTTGAATTTAAGGATTAATGCTTACAGATGTAAAACCACGAAGTTAAAAAATTATAAAGTATAAGAGAAAAAGAAAAAAAAATAGATAAAGGGTAAATAATAATTAAAGCCCGCTTTCTAGATCGTATGCACCGGTCTTGAGTTCATATAATTTTTCAAATAGACGAAGACTGGTATACCAGTTATCGAGAAAAAGTGAGTGTCCCTTATTCAAATAGGGTTTCATCAAAGTCATAACTATGGAACCAGATTTTCCCAAAGTTTGGTCTAGATCAATATCCGTAGACGAACCAGTATATACGCTGAAATCCAACACTACTCCTGTTTCACAGCCGCAAATCACGAATACTTTTACGCCAAATCGACGCCGTTTACTTGGTATATACTGTTTGAACCCCAATCGCCCCTTCCAAAGAATGAGTGATTCATCGATCCATAAGTTTTTGTTCGGAATAACAAGTGATTTGAATTTCTTCCGCAGATCATCTATCACTGGTTTGATTTTATGTAATTTGTCATCGTCCATTTGAGTTAACTCATCGTTGAAATGTAAGTATTTCAAAAGGATTAGAAATCTATGTCTAGAAAATAACTGACCAAACATAGGTGTAATAATCATTGGATCAGCTGACCAGTAGTCGAGGATCTTATTCTTTTTAGTTACAGACATGAGCATAGTTGTGGCTAGGAAAGTATATATTTCAGAGCGATTTGTCTCTGTCCATTTTGCTTGGTGGGAACATGTTGAGGGTGTAATATCGTTGTTAGAAAAAGCCTGGTACTTGTTGGTTTCTTCAACAATTAGATCAATTATTGTTTCATTGAACAATAATTGAAAAAATTCAAGAGGTGTAGCATCTTTCATAGCGTCTATGTTCGATGAAAGACCAGCATTTGTTTCATCAAAGGAGAAGAGATGTGGTTTGAATGCAGTTTTCTTCCAAATTCGATCAGTAGATTGTTGTTTCGATGATCCTATTTCATCATCCGATTCACTACTATCCACATCTGATGAATAAACTGCGTCAATTTTCATAGTAGAATCGCCTTCAGATTCGCTATCCATTTGAATTTCATGGGGATCGTTAGTTGTACACGTTGCCATATTTAGAGAAAATTCTTTTGTAATGGATATCAATAATTAACTGTTTGTATGAAGTGTTGTGTCGAATAATGAGAATTTCGATTCTGTGAGAATATATATCCAAAGATATGAGGTGTTTCAAGTATGGAATCGAAACTTTATTTATATGAGAGCGTTTTTTGAAAGAGAAACGAAAAAGAATACGCCAGAATTTACTAGAACGTGATAGAATGTCAAAAGTCGGTATGCGAGAGAATATATGTAGAACGTAATACGCAATAGTGACGCAATTCTTTTGTTAAAATAAGAGAAAGATACAGTAGTTCTTTTAATAAAGTCTAAATGACATTATATTGAAGACAATACCTACAAAAGTTCAATGCCTATATATAGGTCACCCGTAACCAAAGGGTTAACAAGTCGTTTTTGACAATTTGTAAGCCTGGGCCTCTAGAAATTCAGGTTTTTCTGAAAATACTTTGATGAGCTACTTGTCAGAAAACTGAGACGATCATTCGATTCAGGGTGTCAATATACATATGTTCGTAAAATTTGAGGCTTTATGTGCTAGGTATTACAATTCTAGAGATATGTTTGGGGATGGGACAAAAGTTAGGGGTGCGTCATTCCGATGTATTTTTCAAATTTCTTCCTTTAGAAATGAGCTGAAGCCTTGGTATTTATAGCATAATTTGTGATACCCATTTGACATATATGGTGAAAAAACCAGTTCTTAATTCAATGTAGTTCGGTCAGGAAGGGGTGGGACAAATTGTATATCAAAGCTCTGGACGTCAGTAAAATGTCAATTACTCAAAAACGAAGAAACCTATTAACTTGTGGTTTTCAATAATCTATAGTGCCTACTTTGGTGAACTTTTTCATGGGAAAACATTTGACTGAAAGTGCTTATTGGCTGCGTAGTAGACTCAAAAGGAGGTGGGACACGACTTTTGAACTTTTCGAGGACCACAAATTCCATCGAACTTTTCACAGAAACTAAAAATGATTGGGCAAAAACTAAGACTGCAGATTGACAGAGTAGATAAAATACTTCATAAAAAGCTATAAGGTTTTGTTCCGCCTCCCCTTAAAAGAAGAAAAATGCTAATTAAGAAAAAAGAACGTGTAGGAACCACTAAGAAAAGAAGGGAAAAAGAACCCAAACACAAAGTGTTTTGCTTATGGTACACTATGGAAATAAGACAGAAAAGAGATCTTAGCAGTGTGTATAGAGTTAAAGTGCCCGGAAACAAATGGTATAAGCATCCAAAAGTTTGATTTAGTATTAACGGAGAACCATGCAGGTCCGTTAGCGCAGGTCACACGGTACAAAAATCACCAGAATCACTCATGTGACTCTGTGAAAAAGTCTTGCGTCCACACGTAAGTGTAAGCTTGTTGTAAATGAAAGGTGCTGCAGGTAAAACAGACGGCTTCTTCTTTCTTTTACCATTACGAATATTCGGTACTTTACGTGACTGTTACTACTTCTTCATGATATTTCATTGTATACTTCATATTCATGTGTCAGTAGTGCTTCTTTTAATTGTCTTCTTTTAACATTCTTTCTATATGTTTCTCAAATTAATTTAACAATCATTTTGTACAGCATGTTGAAATGTATTCAACACCAACTTTTCACAGATTTCTTCCTTTATATTTGATTATTGACAGCAGTTTTAGTTCTCTCTTCACACAGAGGGATTTTCCACCAGCTCTCGCATTCCAAAAACCTTCTGTCTTTTTATAGTTAATCGGTTGAAGAGAAAAAACAGTATACAACTCAAGCTGGTCAAATAAACTTTTCAAATATAACTTTGAAATCGCGATACTGTTATGCAACCTATATTTCTTTCTAATTACACAACTCAGAGCACAAGCTAGACCCTCAACAGAAATGTTAAAGGAGAATTCTACGAAAGTTCACATGTCACAGTGATAAGCGATAAATAACGACAGAAGTAAAGCTGGCGGCCTGCGGTCCACCTCGCAACATGGGAAAATCTTGAACGTATACCATCAATTTAAGTAAAACCTTTATGCTCTTAGCCAGGATGCTAGGATACTCTCCACACAGAACATAAGCTTTTGAAATATCTAACCTCCATAACTTGACAAGACTTTAAACCAATCGTAATTCTGCTATAAAGCTAGAATTCCTGAATAGGTTAAAGTTATCTACTGTCGAGGAAAGCTCCTTAACTATCCAATCACTTGTAGCATTAAAGCAAGCAGTTAATAGTAGTTTCATTGCTGTATGGGGTCTCATCACAATGTATATGACAAAATTTGAGACGTTTGGCATATGTCAAGCATGATGTTCA